CCAAAAGACACCTAAGGTCATGCTCAACCTCATTAGCAATCAGGGAAATGCAAATCAAAACAACTTTGAGATATCATCTCACACCTGTCAGAATGGCTAAAATCAAAAGCACCGATGATAGCCTTTGCTGGAGAGGCTGTGGAGGAAGGGGTACCCTCATCCATTGCTGGTGGGAATGCAATCTTGTGCAACCACTTTGGAAATCAGTGTTTCGGTTTCTCAGGAAATTCGGGATCAACCTACCCCTGGACCCAGCAATACCACTCTTGGGAATATACCCAAGAGATGCCCTATCATATGACAAAAGCATTTGTTCAACTATGTTCATAGCAGCATTATTTGTAATAGCCAGAACCTGGAAACAACCTAGATGCCCTTCAATGGAAGAATGGATGAAGAAAGTGTGGAATATATACACATTAGAGTATTATGCTGCGGTAAAAAACAATGACTTCTCGAATTTTGCATGCAAATGGATGGAAATAGAAAACACTATCCTGAGCGAGGTAACCCAGACCCAAAAAGATGAACATGGGATGTATTCACTCATAATTGGTTTCTAGCCATAAATAAAGGTCACGGAGTGCATACCTGGTGAACCTAAAGAAGCTAAATAAGAAGGTGAACCCAAGAAAAAACATATAGTTATCCTCTTGGCTAAGGGAAGTAGACAAAATTGCCGGGGAGAAAATTGAGATCTTGGGGGTGGGGTGGGTTGGGGATAAGGGGGACGGGGAGAGAAAAGTGAGAATGGGAGGATTGGGGGAACTTGGGGAAACAGGAAGATTGGGATAAAGGAAGGTTGGATAGGGGAGCAGGGAAGCACATATCTTAGTAAAGGGAGCCACCTTAGTGTTGGCAAGAGACTTGAACCTAGAGTGGTTCCCAGGAGCCCAAGGCGATGTCCCCAGTTAGTCCCTTGAGTAACTATATTTTTTACAATACTGTTTGGCCAATAGCTTAAGCATGTTGCTAGCTAACTCTTACATCTAAAATTAACCCATCTCTATTAGTCTATGTATTGCCACATGGCTTACCAGCAAGGCTTCTTTGACTTGTCTGTTCCCTGTGGTGGCTACATGGCATCCCCTGACTCTGCCTTCTTTCTCCCAGCATTCAGTTTAGTATCGTTTGCCCCCAGCCTCCCTGCACCTAGCTCTACTCTGCCCTATCACAGGCCAATTCAGATTTTTTATTTATTAACTAATTAAAAACAACACATATACAAAAGGACTTCATACATCAGCCTGTCTCTCTGAAACCCCAGCGCTGGGTTATGGGTGTATAGATCCATGTCTGATTTAGTATTTGAAGTTATGTCCTCATGCGTGAACTGTAGCACCAAGCCCCTCAGCCTTCTTGTTTTCACTTATCTTCTTAGTCCTTGCTGTGATAAGTAGAAAACAACCTATTTTAAGTAGATTTTCTAAATGACCAGTGACTGTGAACATTTTTTATACATGTACTGTATTGATTCCTTCTCTGTCCATCTCCATCTCTGACCTTACTCTTCAGTTAGATATTTGCATTCACTGGTTTGTGAGAGCTGCTCAGACAATATGCAAATCAACCTTTATTTTAATGCATTCTCATATATATATGATACACACACACACGGGCAACACTCCCAGTGGTGATATATA